TCGTCAGGTAGAATCTATGGGGAGGAGAAAAATCAGAATGTCGACTGTACAAAAGTTAACTGAACTGAACTGAACTGAAGAAGCAGCTTGGATGAGACGCGAAACATCTTCAACCAAACTAACTTTTGTCCAGTCGACAAACTGATTTTTCTCCTCACCATTAAGTCCTAATGATTATTCGGAATTAAACTTATTCGGAATTAAATTTAAATCCGAATTAAGTGGGGGGTTTATTCCGATTTTAAAGCCAAATTAATTTATCCTGCGATCATGTAAACGTTTATTCCTCTTAAAAAATAATTCTGGTTGTTCAGCGCCTGTTTGTGTCAGGGTCAGCCTGATGTTCCCCCTACCTCTGTTCCCCGGTGCCTATGTAATTGCAAAAGGCACCGAGGTTCCCCGTTAACACCGCGGGCCGTCCTCATCCCAAGTTATCATCATGAACTCGTAAAACAGCAGCATGTAGCCTAGAACTTTACACAACTCACCGCACATCAGGATCCGTGCGACCACGCGAAGGTCCAGGCGGGCTGCTCCTGTCCTCTGTGCTCAGGGCTGCGGCTGGTGGTGCAAAACATCCAGACAGAAGCGCGAATCCCGTTTGGTTTGTTATATCGTGTTCTGAGCGTCTGTCCTTCGCGCATTTGGTTCAGGAGTCTGGGTTTGGACCGCTGTCCCCCAGTTTGTATGAATGCGTAACGACAAACCGAGATGACAGAAAAGCCGGTAGCAGCTGAAGTGTGAGTTTTCTTCCGGTAGATGTAAATACGCTTGTGTCTCTCTTTAAGCAGAACTCTTCCAGACGTTGAGCAGAATTAAATAAAGCCAATTTAACGTGTTTTTCATGTAAACCTTAATTCGGAATTATTAAAACTTGAAAGGAGAATAATTTAATTCCGAACTGTCCTAAAGTGTGTTTTTGTCTCTTACCCTGTCTGCAGTCCTGATGCTGCGGTGCCGGATTTCCTCATGTAACGGCCACAAACTCTTCATCAGGCCGAATACGAAAGACAAGACACAGTGTGGAGTCAATCAGCTTTACTCCTGTGACAAATATATAAATACTATATTAATATTATATAATATATTATATTATAAATAATATATATTAATATATAATTATATAAATCATGTATGAACAATAAAACAATTTAAGCTTTACATTGGCAGCAGTTGTAATTATTTCAGTAGACAAATGCCCAATTTAATACATTTTACATAAATAAAACATACCTGTGACATACATATAAATATTGTATGAATCTGTCTTCACACATATGAGTCACTCTGGCTCCTGTAAGAATGAGAACAGCACCGTGAGATGGACGCTCATTTTCACTGCATTCAGAACAATGTATTATTATTAAGCTAACTTGAACATTTAACACTACAAATAAAATTTACAAAACTTCAAATTAGCGCACCACAATACATCCACTACATGTGAAAACGTTTTCTTATCAAAATTTGTTCTTGTATTTATGCTAACAGTACATCGTTTTTGTGAAATATTTTATTTTCAACCGAGACAGAATTTACCTTCTGCACTTTCCAACGTCCTACTGAGAGCGGAAGTGCAACTACCAAAATAAAACACACGGAGCAGCGCGCACTTCCGGTTTTCAAAATAAAACACTAAAATGATATAATTCACATTTAAGTTAAAACGAAACATAAAATACAACCAGGAAATAGTAATAAGTGCATTTTTAACCCTGTTTCACTCACATCCTTGTGCTCTTTCTGTCATCAACTTCATTTCAGTTTGTGACAAAAATATTCATATTGTGCCGCTTTGATTAATAAAGTAAGTAGCCAGTGTTATCAGTGCTCTACACGGAGCGGGACACACGGGGACACACGGGGACACACGGGGACACACGGGGACACACGGGGACACACGGGGACACACGGGGACACACGGGGACACTGGCGCTGAGGCAGGTTCGCTCTTTGATTATGAACTCAGGGCTGTGACAGAGGAGCAGAGGAGTCGCAGCTCCTCGTTTGTTGCTCAAATAACTTAAAATAACCACTAAAGCGCCAGTACTGGGGCTACGTCCACATGACGCTCCTGAACTTTTTTTTTTTTTTATGGACTTAAAAAAATTCATGTCCACACACGTGTCGGATCAATAGGCCTAAATATTCATGTCCAGATGACAACGGAGCACTGAGTCAAAACGATGTAATACACCTGCAACACCTGTATGTGGCGCTGTTAACAATGATAATGGTAAATGGTCACATTTTTCTATAGCGCTTTTCCACCTTCAAGGCTCAAAGCGCTTTACAACAAGGAACCACTCACCCATTCACACACACATTCACACACCAGTGTACGCAGACACTGTGGGCAAGGTGGGTTAAGTGTCTTGCCCAAGGACACAACGGCAGCATTCATCTGTGGGAGCTGGAATCACACCAGCAACCTGTGGGTCAGTGGATCTGACCACTCAACCTGTGATGTTTATGTTGAGAGATTAAATAATATTTAATAATGTAAATCTCATCACTGTTTTTATTTTTTTTTATTTTAAGGTAATTTAGCCGGATTTAGATGTATCCCAAACATAAGTTTTTGTTTTCAGTCATAAGATTTGGGTGAGAATTATTAGAATAACTTGGTCTCAAATCCAACAGTTTATTTACTCGTGTGTAATTTTTGTTATTGATCCGTGTGCGTAATCTGCACTAACAGCATGTCTCGGTTGCTGGGCGACAGGAGCGGCTCTGTGGGCTACACCTGTCCCATTTCAGCAACGCTCTTGCGGTTCCGCGGAGGCTTGTTCGTGCCTCATCATTTTCCAAAAGCTGCGGTTTGTTTGTCCGCACGACAACACAACACCGGCGTTCTCAGGTTTCTCCACTCTGGAACCCGCTTTCAAAAAACACTGTTTTCGCCCACTCAAAACTCCGGCTCCGTGTGGACGAAACCCCAAAACGAATAAAAACTTCACCGTTTCAACCAAAAAACATTGGACAGGCCCTGAGACGACTCGGGGGCGATGCTCTGGGGCAGGGTACTGTTTTCTTCCGCTGTGTCTGACGTCGTGTTCTGTTGTGCACGTTTTGGAAAATCGGATCAGAAAATCGGATACGATCAAAAAATTGTGAGTCTCATCTTAAGACCCAATTCTATTCTGTTGCTTTTAACACCGTGTGAGTTGTGTGGTCCTCAGTGTTTTTTATTTATTGTTGTATATTTATTGTTTTATCAATTTTGCTGCTTTTATTGATTGATTTTATATATTTGTATCTATTGTTTCTATTAAATCCTTTTGTCTGGAACATAATTCTGCTGACTTTTTACTGTCAAATGTGTTACACTGTTACGTAAGCGGCTTCAGTGCGTTATTATTGGTGTGCAGTTGTGTTGAGCTGACTGTTCTGGGCCTTCGTGTGACGCCTGTGCAGAGTGAAGCAACAAGAATGTGCCCAAACCAAAGTCACTTTTACGGTAAACGTTTCTGTCTCATGACCCACATGCTCAGGCTTCTTCACATTCACACAAACACACTGTAGAAAGCAGACTCGTCCTTTATCTTTAACACTCTTTTATCGATAACAAAAAAAATATTTTCCTTTAATGGAAGATAAGAACAATAATCACTTTTTGTTGCATATTAGCACTATAAATCACTATAAACTTGCTTTATTTGTGTATTCTGTGTTTGGAATGATGGAAATATAATATAATAATCTGGAAAAAAGCATCTCTACAATTCTTCTTTGATTAATGCTACTGACATGGTCTCTAAAATAAATAAATTCAAATATAAATATTACTGGAATTCAAGTGTACTGAATGAATGAATGAACTTGAAAGTTTAGAAGTTACAACGGATTTTGTTTGATTGAGTTGTACACATTATTACTCTGGAACGGCTCTCGCTGAAAATGACCTGAAAACACAAAGCCGAAAAATCAGACTTTGTTTTACTTCCAGTTGCAACACAGACGAGCTGCGAAACCAGTTTGGGTGAAGCGAAGATGAAAACATGTCAAGCGAGAATGTGGTCTAAACCGTTCTGAGTTTCTCCGAGCAGAGGAGCGGAGTTAGAAGAGGAGAGACAAAGGAGCAGACCCAGAGAACGAGAGCCAAAGAGCAGAGCCAGAGGAGCAAAGCTAGAGGAGCAGAGTCAGAAAAAGGAGAGCCAAAGGAGGAGAGCCAGAAGAGGTGAGCCAAAAGAGGAGAGTAAAAGGAGCAGAGTCAGAGGAAGAGAGACAGAGGAGCAGAGACAAAAGAGAAGAGTCAAAGGAGGAGAGCCAGAGGAACAGAGTCAGAGAACGAGAGCCACAAGAGGAGAGCAAAAGGAGCAGAGCCAGAAAAGGAGAACCAAAGGAGCAAAGCCAGAAGAGCAGAGCTAGAGGAGAAGAGCCAAAGGAGTAGTGACAGAGGAGAGCCAGAGAAGCAGAGTCAGAGGAGCAGAGTTAGAGAAGAAGAGCCAAAAGAGAAGAGACGAAGGAGCAGAGCCAGAGGAACAGAACCAAAAGAAGGAGAGCCACAAGCGGAGAGCCAAAGGACCGGAGTTAGAAGAGGAGAGGTAAAAGAGGAGAGCAAAAGGAGCAGAGCCAGAGGAGCAGAGTCAGAGAACGAGAGCCACAAGAGGAGAGCAAAAGGAGCAGAGCCAGAAAAGGAGAACCAAAGGAGGAGAGCCAGAGGAAGAGAGTCGAAGGAGCAAAGCCAGAAGAGCAGAGCTAGAGGAGAAGAGCCAAAGGAGTAGTGACAGAGGAGAGCCAGAGGAGCAGAGCCAAAAGAGAGACAAAAGAGGAGAGTCAAAAGAGGAGAGCCAGAGGAGCAGAGTGAAAGAAGGAGAACCACAAGAGAAGAGCCAGAGGAAGAGAGCCAGAAGAGCAGAGTTAGAAGAGGAGAGCCAAAAGAGAAGAGCCAAAAGAGAAGAGCAAAAGGAGCAAAGCCAGATTAAGAGAACCAGAAGAGGAGAGCCAGAGGAGCAGAGCCAGAAAAGGAGACAGAAACGACAAACGCCACCAAAACCATGAAGACTTGTGTGAAGCTGCTGTCTGTAACTGTCCTGTTTCTTTGCATCTACTCAGGTGAGAGCGCACACACGTTCAGTCCTGATCTGTTCCCTTGTCTGTGAATGAATTTACTGTTTTAAACGAGTAGCTGTGTTCATTGAGTTTCATTTAAGGTCAAATGCTGTGTGTACTCCTGTCGTTCCGTACAAATCCAACAGTCCCGGGGCTCTTGACTTCCTTTTTTTTTTTTTTTTTTGAGGCATTTTTTTTTTTTTTTCAAATTTCCATGCATATCTTTGGCTGGAATTGGAAAGTTTGTGTTAGACTCCCCGTTACGCCTTCCCAGTGGCTTTTATCTGCACAATGAGACCAGAGAGAGCTTCATTCAGACTCCACCTCCCATCTGAATCCAAACTGTCACTCATATGTTTATTTCTTCTAGATTTGTCTGAAAAAGCTTTACTTGGAGCTGCATACACATCTACGCCTGTCATGATAACACATCTGACTTATTTAGACTTTTACTCATGAAGAATGTATTATTATCCTTTATATTTTTACCTGGTCCCCGGAGGTTTGACCAGGTTTTGTATTCACCGTGTGTGTGTCTGTCCACCTGCGATAATTCCACTATTTATGGACCAATTGTCACCAAATTTGGTACGTGGGTCAAGCCCCAGTGTCCGATGCCGCAAAAAAAGTTTGGTGAGGATCCGAGGTCATTGGAGGTCACACGGGTCAATTGAATGGTCACGCCATTATAAAGGATTTGGCAGTTTCGGCAATTTCTGAACCATCTGCGGTGTAAAATATTCAATCCAATCATTACACAAGTTGGCACACACATAACCGGGGCACACTGGATGTTATAGGTTGAAACTGGTGAAGGTAACCAGGGTCAAATATGTGTTTTTGGTCATAACTCTGCGAAGGATCGAGCTCGAGCAATGGGAGTGTCTCAAAATCTCAGAAAAATTATTATCTATTTTAGTGCTGTCATGCGATTAAAAAAATTGAGAGATTAATTAATTATGATCTGTAATTAATTAATCTAATTAATCTCATTTTAATCTCACCTAAAAATTGCTGAGAAAAGCTTCAATTTGAGGTATTTTCATTTAAATTCATTATTACATTATTGTGGCAGATCAAAAGACTGATATAGATTTTAAAAAGTGACTTTATAAAGTCATTTATTGTTTAACAAATCTCTCCAAATTGACTGTTGAGCCCAAGTCTCCATGAATCAGAAACTGTTTGTTGTAAAGTAGCAAAGACGAGGAAATCTGAACATAATAACTTTTGTCAACTTAAAGACAATAAAAAGTCCAGTCTTTCCTTAACCATATAAAAAATATTATTGATAGAGAAATGTTTTATATATGAGATCACTGGTTTTAGTCCTTGTTTTAGTCCTGGTTTAGACCTGCTTTAGTCCTAGTTTAGTCCTGGAATGGATTAATCCTGTTTTAGTCCTGGTGTTAGTTCTGGTTTAGTCCTGGTTTAGACCTGGTTTAGACCTGGTTTAGACCTGGTTTTAGTTCTGGTTTATTCCTGGTTTAGACCTGGTTTTAGTTCTGGTTTAGTCCTGGTTTAGACCTGGTTTAGACCTGGTTTAGACCTGGTTTAGTTCTGGTTTTAGTTCTGGTTTTGGTTCTGGTTTAGTCCTGGACTGGTTTAGTCCTGGTTTAGACCTGGTTTAGTCCTGGACTGGATTAGTCCTGGTTTTAGTCTTGGTGTTAGTTCTGGTTTAGAGGTTCACAGGAGGAAGTGCGGTTTACGCCGCGTACGCGAGAAAACACGATCCACACGCGGCTCACGGGAGCACGTCAGTGTCCACGCAGTAACTACGGAAGGAAACGTGGTCCGCGCGTTCTCAGGTTAATGACGATGATGAAGGTGTGTGTTTGTTTGTGTTGTGTGTGTTGTGTTGTTTTGTGTGTGTTTTGTGTTTGTGTGTTTGTGTTGTGTGTGTGTGTGTGTTTGTGTTTTGTGTGTTGTTTGTGTGTGTGTTTGTGTGTGTGTTTGTGTGTGTTTGTGTGTGTTTGTGTTGTTTGTGTGTTGTTTGTGTGTGTTTGTGTGTGTTTGTGTGTTGTGTGTGTGTGTGTTTGTGTGTGTTTGTGTGTGTGTTTGTGTGTGTGTGTGTGTGTGTGTGTGTGTATAGGACAGTAGTGCAGACATCATGAGTCTATGCAGGTTGTTTTCACCAGTGACATTTAAGTTGTAGTTGATTTTATATTTGTTATTTTCTTTTATATTTCACGTCGGGAGAATAATTTCCAAGACACGAATGTGTTTTTACCTGTGCACTGCTGCTCTGTTCTACTGGCTCTTCGACCTCGTCCATTGTGCGACTGACGCCGCCAGCGTTAACATAATGTTTACATCGCTGTTACTGCGCGCGTTTTGTGTGGGTTTCCGGCAATGAGTGGAATTACCGAAATAAAAAAAATTATAAATGTGTTTTTTGTGTGTGTGTGTGTTATTGTCCCAACAACACATAAAAACAGGTTTTATAATAAAGCAACTCGCATACAGAAACACTAAAGTTAGAGATTAAAAATGAGATTAACGCGATTAAAAAATATAACGCGCTAAATATGACTGTAATTAATTAATCGCAATTAACGCGATAATTTAAAATATGCATAGTTTTCCAGATAATCACTAATTCTAACAGTTCCTTTCTCTTTCAGTGTAGCCGTTAAAATTCTAATTGGAATGAAAATCATTTCCATTTCTTGTTTTTCTGGAGAAACACAACACACTGATCTACAGTCACACAACTAACACACACACAACTCATAAAAAATGACATTTTAGTTCCACACTAGTAAACACAGACATTCTCATGTGTGACCAACATCACACAAATGTTCATGGGCCTGTACACATACACACATTATATTGTGGATATAATGATCATGTGATATGGGCTGGACTCCTCATAAACTGCTTCTGTGCTGATGAACTGACCCACCGACGCCTCATGGGGACCAGGTTGTTATCTCTGACTGCCCTTGTTGCTCTTTGTTATTATATTTATTTATTTGTGATGTGTGAGCCACTGTGTTCAAGTAATTTCCCTTGTGGATCAATAAAGTTTGTCTAAGTCTAAGTGATCATCCCTACATCTTTCTGGCCGTTCTGAACATAAAGGCATAACCGGCCTGATTAAAACACTTTTAAGGGAGTAAGGTGTACTTTTTGGGGCACAGATTGAATTGATACGATTTTATGATTACATTTGATTATTGATGAACCAAACATTCCTAAAAATGAGTCGAGATCATAGACTGTGTGGACATCGATAATCTGCCGCGTTCCAAATGGGCGACGTCACACTCGCTTCTTTATTAAGGATTCACGTGACTTAATTGTTTTGGCGGCCGTACTGGAGGTCAAGGTCGGTCCAGGTTCAGTTTCTACAGTATAATCATGGCTACTTTAAACAGCGCAAATAACATAAAACTGTCTGAAACCTCCAGCCGTCATTAGAAAGATGTAACGCTAAAGTCGTCCTCCTGGGTTGTGGAACAGATCTATAATTCCGACGCTCTGTGCCCAACCTCTAATGTCCAGATATTTATAACGACTTAATTCATCCGACATCATGCTGCACCAAGCAAGAACTGAGAAGCTACACGGGGTTAGAGGATTATAAATATTTTGTAGTGGGATGCGTGAGGTCTTTGTTGATCACCAAACATCACATCTGTTCCTGGTAACAGCCAGGGGGAAGTAGAACGGGGGTCAAAATCAGAGCCGGAGCTGCCCTGGACGGTGGAAATTGAAGGGGAGATTCCATGCCGGCGAAAGTGACAAGACCCCACAATCGCACACAAATACTACACGTTGGTCCAGATGGATAGTTTGACCTCCAATATGGCGGCATAAACAACAGGTCACGTGCTTTTGTGATGTAGATGCAAAACTTTAATACAGGCGATGGTTGAACTACACTCCAGGTTTTGAGTTTAACTGCTGATGTTTGTGGTGCTGTTGAGCTTTAGTTTGTGACTGGGAGCACATGTCCTGGGCTTATCCTGGTCTTTTCTCTTCCAGCTGCTGGGCTGGAGTGTATGTCCTGTGCAGACTTCAGTTGTTCTTCACAGAATCCACAGACCTGCTCCTCCTGGCAGACTCTGTGCTACACAAGCGCCATCAATGGTAACTGCACTCACAACTATGTCCAAAACTACAGCAGGATAAAGGAACTTGTCAAAGCGTAAACCGTGTAGTGAGCAGTCAGTTCAGGTTCACATTTAGGACCAGCACACGAGGCACATGGGCCATTCATTTCTCCAACAGGAATTTATTAACTCATATATTAGTATATTAGTATTAGTGTATAAGTTCAAAGGCATCACGGAGGGTAAACAGCTACGTGCTAACTAATATAACACATAAAACAGCTGTTTTAAGTCTAAAAGGAACATTTAAAACACAAGATTCTGCTAAACTTTGTAACTTTATAAACTAGCAGCAGAGACAGATTTTACGTAAAGTTATAAATCTTGTGCTCATTAGTTACCAGTAGCTAATTAGTCCTGAGCTTTCAAGGAAGCTTCATGGGAGATTTAGTCTACATCCACACGACAATGCTCCTGGATTTTTTTCCCATCCACACACGTGTCAGATCAATAAATATTCACGTCCAGACGACAACGGAGCAGTGAGTGAAAATGATGTAATACATCTGCCACACCTGTATGTGGCGCTGTTAACAATGATAATAATATTTAATAATGCAAATCTCATCACCATTTTTTAAACTTATTTATTATTATTATTTAGTCTATTTTAGATGTATCCCATAAATATCGCAGTTTTGTTTTGCAAAAGTTAAACGTAAGTTTTCGTTTTTTAGCCATAAGATTTGGATGAGAATTATTAGAATAAAATCCAACTGTTTAATTACCCGTAATTGCGTAATATATTTTATTGATCCGTGTAATCTGCGTGGTGTGTGTTGTTAGCGTTAGAAGCGTGTCTTGGTTGCTGGGCGACGGGAGCAGCTCCGTAGTCTACACCTGTCACATTTCAGCAACGGGTCTTGTGGTCCGCGGAGCAGAGTCCTGCACAGGTCCATTTTTGGAGACTCTCACACGCCCGCGCAGTACAGAACCACCAGGACTGAAAACTAGGACTATACCATGACTAAACCATGACTAAACCAGAACTGCACCAGAACTTACTGGCGGACGGGCTCGGAGGTGCACCCGCGTAGACCGTCGGTTGACCACAGGCAGAAGGACTGCCGCAGAGCCCAGCTGGAACCCATTCTAAAAAAACACCGTTTTCGCCCACCTGAAACTCTGGCTCTGTGTGGAAGAAATTCCAAAACGACAGACACACTTCACCGTTTTGACCAAAAAACGTTGTCGTGTGGACAGGTCCTTAGTCTCTCTCAAACTCGTCCACTTGGGGTTGGACATAGTAACTCAGAGTAAACAACAAAACACAACTCTGACTAAGTTTTTGATGTAGAAACAACATTATAACATAGATCAGAAAATACCTCAATATGTGCCCTTTAAAAATGATTGGCCTCTAGAACGTAGTGATGTCAGTGGGTTTGTCCTGTTACTGTTGCAGACTCTGGGAGAATCACGATCATTAAAGGCTGTACGTCTCCAGACAACAACGGGTGTACTGATGGAGGCACCTTCTACTCGTACAACTACGGCTCCTCCCGCCTCCACAAGATCATGTGTTGTGACTCAGACCAGTGTAACTCCGCCGAGCTCCCCAGTGAGTGACACTGACCAAACTCTCCACGCTCCCACATCAACCATTAACCTGTGTTGTGTTTCAGTCCCTGCGCCCCCTGCTGGCTCTCTGCAGTGCTACGGCTGTGACCCTCATACCTACGAGTGTAGTACTAATGTGACCTGTAACGTCGAGGAGGTGTGCGCAGGATTTGGTCAGTGTGTTCAATAAGCTGTCGAAACTCTTTTTGTAACAAATACATCTTGGAACAGTTATTATTGTTTTTATTAGACATAAGCTTAAATATTTGGAAGTTACTAAAAATAATAGCTTCTTCTCGTCCGGGCTCACAGTGTCATACAGCATCATGCTCCTCATTCTTCTCTCCAGCGGCTACACGTCCACTCTAGTCCACCTGCAACTTGTCTCTAACTGTCAGAGCATCTCCCCAGCACATGATGCCAAAAACACAGCACTGACCTCAACAGACTGATAAAAAGTTACAGCAGGGTCACCAAACTTTTTTTTTCTGGGGATCACATTATCGTTCCTGACTGTGATGGGGACCGGGTTCGGGTCGGCCGTAAAACAGAATAGTTTGACCCTGACGAAGCAGATATATATTATATAAACCACCACACTTTCTTGAAATATCAGACAAAATGCACGGTGTTTACACTGAACAAGAAAAAAAATTGGTCATCTACTGTTTTTTGGGTCCTGAGTTATGACCCGTTGAAATGGTCATTCTCTCAAATATTCAGTTTTACAGTTAGTTTGTAAATATCTGCTTGGAGTAAATAGATCTTGGACCTCAAAAATTGAAAAAAAAAAAAAAAATTGAGCGGCAACCAAATTTGAGATTTTGGGGGCCCACAGCGCCCTCCTTAAGAAACCCAATATTTGACAGACAGATTTAGAATCTTTGACCAAGAATCTACAATAATACAAATTTCAGCTTCCTAGCTCTATTTTTTATGAAGTTATGGTCTCTCAAACATGCTTATGAATTAAGGTGTACAAAAAAATGGGCATGGCCCCAAAATTTCATCAGGCCATAACTCAGGAACGGAAGGGATTGAGCTAAAATTTTAGATTCTTTCATTTGGTCATTTTAGAAATTTTTGAATTTTTTCAAGCCAACTCACAACAGAGGACACACTCTGGATCTGGTCATCACCTATGGCCTGACCACTAGTGTGTCCTCTGTTGTTGACCTGGCTGTGTCTGACCACTACTGCGTGTTTTTTAACATCACTGGTTTTATACAACGTGAGACCTCTGTGAGAACTGTGAGGAAGCGCCGTCTGACCCCTGAAGTGGCTGCAAATTTTATCGAAGTTTTAGATAAAAATCCCCCAATGGTTTTACCTGCCCCTTGCGATTTTATCACCGACTATTTTAACAGTAAACTACGGTCAGCTCTGGATCTGGTTGCTCCACTAAAAACTAAAAGCATAACCAAAATAAAACCTCCATGGAGAACTGAAGAGCTGACAAAATTCAAGAGAGAGTGCAGGAGGGCAGAACGGAGATGGAGAAAAAACAAAACTACAATAAACTACCAATTATTCAGTGATCAACAACGTACATACAACAACGCAATAAGAAACGCAAGAAACCATTACTTTTCCACAATAATCACCAATCACAAGAATAATCCTAAGGTCCTCTTCTCAACCATTAACAACATTTTAAACCCTCATTTTAGCACGTTTTACTTAACACCCACTGACTCTCTCTGTGAGCAGTTTGCAGACCACTTCACGGGTAAGATAAACACTATCAGATGTGATATTTTATCTTGTCAAAGCTCTGTTTTTAGTACATCTGAGTGTTTGTCTAGACCAGAGGAAACACTGGACAGTTTTGTCCTGGTTAATGCTGAGATGCTTGACAAAGTTTTCTCCTCAGTGAGGCCCACCACATGTCTTTTAGATCCAATTCCCACTCCATTTTTTAAGTCATTTTATGGATCTTTTAGGGATGAGCTTTTAACCATGATGAATTGCTCTCTTCAGACAGGGGTCTTTCCCTCTGCCTTCAAAGCAGCGGTGGTGAGGCCCCTGCTGAAGAAGAGCAATTTAGATTTTAATGATTTTAACAACTACCGACCAGTGTCTAACCTACCATTTTTAAGCAAAATTTTAGAAAAAACTCGTTTTTATCCAACTAAATAATTTCTTAGACGATCACAACATCTTGGAAAAATTTCAGTCTGGTTTTAGGGTGAACCACAGCACCGAGACCGCCCTGGCAAAGATTTTAAATGATTTTAGATTAAATTATGATTCACAAAAGGTAACCGTGTTGGTTCTACTGGATCTGAGCGCCGCCTTTGACACAGTAGACCACACTATTCTTTTAACTCGCCTAAAAGACCTCGGCCTCTCAGGTGCTGTTCACAGATGGTTCACATCCTACCTCACAGACAGAACATTTATGGTGAGTGTAGACACATGCTCCTCCAGGGTCCATAAAATCACATGTGGTGTGCCCCAGGGCTCCATTTTAGGCCCTGTGCTTTTTAACTTGTACATGCTCCCTCTTGGTGGTGTCATCAGGAGACATGGAATCAACTTCCACAGCTATGCAGATGATACGCAGCTTTACATCTCCATGTCTCCTGATGACACCAGACCAATGGATGCCCTTTTTAACTGCATTCTAGAAATTAAGTCCTGGATGGCAGAAAACTTCCTCCAGCTTAACCAGGACAAAACTGAGGTTTTAGTCATTGGTCCTGAGGCCCAGAGAGAGAAACTTTTACCCAAATTCCAAACACAGTCCTTTAACCCATCTCCTCTAGTGAAAAAACCTGGGCGTCATTTTTGACTCTGAGCTAACTTTTATCCCACACATTAAGAACATCACAAAAATTGGTTTTTATCACCTAAAAAACATAGCCAGAGTTCGCCCCATTCTCTCTCTCTGGCCAACACCGAGACGCTGATGCTTTTTATCACCAGTCGAATAGACTACTGTAATGCCCTGCTCTCTGGTCTTCCCAAAAAGAGTATTTCAGGTTTTGCAATTATTACAAAATTCAGCAGCACGTGTCCTGACGAGGACCAGAGGGCGGGACCACATTACACCGGTTTTAAAATCACTGCATTGGCTCCCTGTGTGTTTCAGGATCGATTTTAAAGTTCTTTTACTGGTTTTTAAATGTCTTAATGGTCTTGGGCCTTCTTATCTTTCAGAACTGCTTTTACCTTACGAACCCTCGCGGACCCTGCGCTCCTCTGGCAGCAGGTTCCTGGTCATTCCCAAAGTCAGGACACACACTCACGGAGAGGCGTCTTTTCAGCACTATGGCCCCCGTCTATGGAACTGCCTGCCGGAGGAGCTCAGGGCTGCAGAGAACGTTCATGTTTTTAAGAGTAGGCTCAAGACCCACCTTTTTAGCTTAGCTTTTGATTGAAATCTTATACTTTTACTTGTTTTTATTGTACACATTTTACTATATTTATTTATCTTAGGCATATTTTTTAGGATTTCCAGTGTTTCCTCTGTAGGAGCCTCTGCATCGGGAGTGGAGGTCAGCTGTGGCTGCTGGGTCTGTCATGTGGGCTCCTGGTGGAGGGATGGTGCTTGGGCCTCAGGTGTCTGGGCTTCATCTCTCCCCTGGCTCCTGTGGTGGTTCCTGGTGGTGGTGGACGTCTCTCTGCTCCCGGTGCAGACGGCTCCTCTGATGGTGCTTTCTCAACTGGTTCGCCTGTATTCAGCCTCACATTTTATTGTGTCCGGTTATGTATTTTAGCGTGTGAGTGTGTGTGTGTGTGTGTGTGTGTGTGTGTGTGTGCATGTTTGTGTGTATGTGAGTGTGTGTTTGGGTTGTTTGACTATGTGGGGTTGGGGGTGCGGGGGTTGGGTTGGTGGGTGGGTGGTTGGGTGGTTGGAAATGCGGGACTGTTTTTAATCACTGTAAAGCACTTTGTGTTGCATTTTGTATGAAAAGTGCTTTATAAATAAAGTTTGATTTGATTTGATTTGATTTGAAATCTGAGATGGCTCATAGGGGAGGGCGGCTGATTTCATATGGACTGACCCCTTGACTCTCTCTGTCAAGTTTTTGTACTTTAACACGAGCCATTTTGCACTACAGTACTCTGTCCTTAACTGTACTACAGTACTCTGTCCTTAACTGTACTACAGTACTCTGTACAGTACTCTGACTGTCACTGTTTGATCTTGAGCTTTTCAGGTGACGAAATTTCAGTGGCAAATTTGGGGGCAAATATGTCACATAATTATTTGAATATAAATTCTTCTTATAAATGTCATTTTTAATTGAAAAAAATCAACAAACTACAAGATGCAGACATGTTATTATTTGCCATAAAGTAATTTAAAAAAAAATAGGCCATGACAACTTTAGAGTATTACCTCTATGGGCCAGTTCAGGTGGTGGGGGCAGAGGGGGTGGGGCCGGTCAAAGGGGTGTAGAGGGTCGGAGTTGGCCCGCGGGCCTTAGTTTGATGACCCTTGGATTACAGCATCTCATTATAGACATCCACAGATTTGAGCTTTCTAAAAAAGAAGAGTTTGCTCTGTTGACCGGCCAGTTCAGTTTGTGGTCCCAATGGACACCCAGATACTTGTGGTGACCACCTCAGTACTCTGTTATTCAATCAGCACAGACGTATGCTGTGTCTGCACCTGCCAAAAGTCCACAGTCATCTTCTTGGTGTTAAATGTATTTAAGACGAGACCATTCCTTCTGCTCCAGTGTGTCCCTTCATCCCCTCCCCTCACACATGGTCTCAGGATCCTGACCCTCGCTTCACTTCACTCAACGCAACAGCCACATTCCTCAGTAGTGAGCAGTACATTTTGATGCACGCTACAGTGTTTTTATCTGTGAAAACTTACAATACAGTATTACATTATATTACATAGAACTCACAAAAATATCTCAAGAACTCATCTTACTGAACAGGTTTGAGGAGTTCAAAGGGTTTTCCGAGCAGTCCCGTCTCCAATGCCAGACAATACAGGATTATTGAAGCATTAATACATCACTCAAAATACAATTCTGAGTAAAATAAAGAAACAAGGTGAAACCATTGTAAACAGAGGTGGATAGAGTAGCCAAAATATTTACTGAAGTAAGAGTGATCTTACTTCAGAATAATATTACTCAAGTCGAAGTACAAAGCAATAACTGAAGAAAAACTAAAACTATTACTCAAGAAAGAGTCACTGTCTGGACGTAGCATCTGTATTTTCAAAAGATACAAACAAAAATGAGAAAAATAAAATCATATGTGAAAAAGCGATGCAAGAAGAACAAACGTTCAAATCACTTCATATTCTCAACATACAGCTTTTGTTGGATTATGTTGTTTTCACACTGTGAATACGACAATCACATTCTTATTCACATTAAAATCTCAGAGAACGTTTGAATCAGAAGGCGTCAGAGCAGCTCCTCTCTCTCTCTTTCTCTAGAGTTGATTGTTTATCATATGTGTTTTGGTGGTGTAACATTTGCCCACTGTACTCCTGTGCTCTGTTCACTCTGCATGTTGTTTTGGTTGTTCTCATTATTGTCGTTGCTGTTCTCATTTTTGTCGTTGTTATTCTTGTTGTTGTTAGTGATGTCGGACGTACAGCCCTTCTACGGCTGTGTCTCCACAAACATCTGCAACACCAGTGACAACAGAGTGGTGTTCACGACCGAGAACCCTGTGTGCTGCAACACATCCCACTGCAACCGTCCAGGTCTGTCCCACGAATGTCCACAGCAGGTCCCGAGTCCAGCTCAATTAACCAAAATATTTCGAATGTCTCCGTTCTAGGTCCCACTCTGCTCAGTGTTTTCTAGATATGTCCACTGAGGTCATAAATATGTCCAAGACTTTTCCCACTCTATGACCAGTGTCCGAGTTGTGTCGCAGTAGGGGTCCCCAAACCCCGGGCCGCGGATCGGTATCTCCGTGTTTGTTTTCCCAGTGGGATGCGTTTATTGACAAAGACGATCTTTTCAAGTCTTTTGAACCATATCGCTTTTGTTTCTGGTTCTGATATTATTTTAGTTTTGGGATTCAGACATCGTAATTGTGTGGTTGTTGGATCCTAAAAGCGGAGAACGGCTCAAGAAACGGGCTTCGGAAGTTTGAACTCCATAACTGCAAAAGTGAATCAGATGTGTGTGACTCAAACCTCCGTTCAAACTGTTTCTCTTCCCAACAGAATTGAAAAACAGTGAAAGGTGAAGGTGATGGGCAGGATTGATCCACAGGAAGAACCAAAAGAAACCATTGTCTGCCTAAGAAATCATCCCGAGTCTGCAGTGAACATTTTGTATGTGGAGCGACGACAAAACAAAATCCCATTTATTAATCCAGAGGTGCAGAAGACAAACAGACTGAGCTGCACTTTCTTGTTCTTGTGGTTTTACAGCAACATCACGTCTTGGTCTCTTTGCAGTGGAAGGTGTTTCTTGGTGAACAGTTGGAGCCTTTCGCTTTGACGTTGACTTTTTAAACTTGTAAACCAAGGTTGAGCGAGGATCAGGATCCCACTTTGATGGTGCTCCACATACAGACTGTTCACTGCAAACTTAGGATGATTTCTTAGGCAGTCAAATGTTTCCTTTTTGTCCTTCCTTTGGATCAATCCTGCCCATCACCTTCACCTTTCACTATTTTTCAATTCCACTGGGAAGAGAAACCGTTTGAACAGAGGTTTGCAGTCACACACATCTGATTCCCTTTTGCATTTATGGAGTTCGCAAACTTCCAAAGCCCATTTCCTGAGTCGTTTTCCGCTGTTAGGATCCAACACCCACACAATTACAATGTCCGAATCCCAAAACTAAAATATGACAATATCAGAACCAGAAACAAAAGTGATATGGTTCAAAAGACTTGAAAAGATTGGTTTTGACAATAGACACATCCCACTGGGAAAACAAACATGGAGGTGTGACACTCACTTTTTCAGAAAATCCTTCTCAGTGTGCATTGCGCGATGACCAGAAGCCCAAAATTCGTGATGCATGTATAACGCTAATACTCCCTACGCACACTGACAATGAGAGCGTCACGGCCAACTACTGTAGTGGATGTGCAATTACACTTTATTCTAGCACGGCAAAAAAAAAAAAAAAAGCGCTCCCCCACTATTTGAGAAGGACTGGTCTAGATTCATTTTATTTGTGTACTTTTTGTGTACTTTTTAACACGTTGTCAGTGACATCCACCCACAGCTCCCTGTTCACTGCCTTATTTATTCATTTTAGCAATTTTACAAAAGACCTCATAAAAATCAAACTGGACAGGAAGTAGTGATGCTAACAGTGAGGATGCCGGGCTGGTCTCCAGACTGAACGGGCTTTTTCTGTGACAGAGATCGGGGTGGAGTGCAGCAAATGTACGGACAGCACCTGCTCCGATGAACACCCAGTGAAATGCTTCAAGAACTCCCCCTGTTACACCCGCACCAAAATTAGTAAGGTCTTGATTTTTTTTGGTTATGTCCAAATATCTATAGGTATAAATGCCCCAAGTATTTTCATTGTAGTACCTGTGTAGTGGCTGTGCTTTTTTCACACTATCTAGTTGATTAAAGAGAGGGAATTATGCTAAAATTACTATTATAATGTTCTTTCATCAATAATCATGCCTGAAGTGGTTTTATATGGTCGTTCGTGCATGTTTGAGTAATCTAGCAATCTCTCGCACCTAATTTTTCCATTTCTTTTATTGCAATTCAAGTCGTTTAAGTCCAACGAAGATCTTGAAATGGTTCAAAGTTAAAAACTGAACAGCCAGATGTTTAAAAAATATAAAAGAAACAAAACACAAGTCTAAGCTCTGTCAAAACTACCTCAGAACAAGATGGTAAAACCTGAAAACATGGAGTGTCCAGCAGCACAGTGTCCAGACTTAAACCCCATCGAGTTGGTTTGGGATGAACTGGACAGAAGAGTGAAGCGACCTACAAGTGCCACACATTTATGGGAACTTCTGCAACAGACTTGGGAAGAACTCTCTGAAGAATATTTGATTTCTGTTGTAAAAAGAACGAGCCATAAGTGTGTTCAGCTGTTAAATCTGCTAAAGGTGGACACACACATCAATCAAAAGTTTAGAATATGTTTTGGTCAACAATAGGGATCAGTAATATCATGGGCCATCACAATATATCGAATCACGGGTTTCTTTGCTTAAATTCTTTGTTATGGTGCAGCAATAGCTAAAAAAAACAAAGAACTACATAGACCATGATCCTTTGCTCCTTTTTGGTTCAAACTACATGAAGAAATAGCAGTTCTAAGCACTTTGAATTAAGCCTCGTCAAGGCATTTTAACCTGTTACCACCCGCCTCATTTTGGTGTGTGCACAATGGTAAGACATACCCAAATGCCATAGCTTATTAAAAGAAAACCTTAGAACCCACATGCTTGTGTGAGGCACTATTTTAAAGCTTAGGCCTTCTAGTTTCTGTAGATATGTACATGAAGACTGTGAGTGCTGCCTAACCTACAGTACAGTCAATTAAAATTGAAAAAAAAAAATATTTTTTTGCTTCGAAAAAAAAAATTGAAAAAAATAAAGGCCTTAGCTTGGGCATACTTCGTGCTAGGCATTTGTGACTCACTACACTCATTGTTCAAGTTGTTGGCAACAACTGTGTAGAATTTCAGATCTCTAGGACAAAGGGTTTTGATGCTGTGAGCCTTTGTGTAAACAAAATGACAATTTGGCACAAGATTGCCAAATTTGTGCCAAAATAATAATAATAATATAAAATAATAATCATTGTTATTATTATAATACTAATTCTTCTGAGCTTTAGGCATGTTTTCTCAAGAAAAAAAAACTAAAAGTAGCCAAAATTGTCTTCCAATTGGCAGTTCTGCTACTACTACTACTGCTCTCTGTGTCTCTCTCCTGTTCCTCTCGGCTGCGCGTATAAACACAGGGTCCGTTTCCAATACAATCTGAATGTCCCACCCACCGTTTGAAAGCTCTGGTGATAGGCTAAAACAATATGTCAATCACTTTCTGGAAGATCCAATGACTGAAGAGATTTCCCGTAAACAAACTGATGACGCGTGCGTAAAGCCAGGAAGTACGTGGGTGCGTTAGCTTTTTCAGCGGCTTGTCCCACCTAAACCCCGCCACCGACAACAGCGGGGAGGGTCTCATTTTGAAGCTAAGACTGTGAGGAAAACAAGCGTACCCAAGAGCGCCAAGAGAAACGGAACTCAGAGCGGGAGAAGAGGCGGAGGAGAGACATAATATTTTCATTCACGGATTCATCCACTCATACGGACGACTGGATTATTCCCCCACATGGAATTATTTTATGGAAAAATCAACTTGATATTCTTTTTCTGTGGATTATTACGGATTTATTGAGTACAACTTTTCATGGATTGAACGCGTTTTGGACCGACAGAACCGCTCAAAGGTAAGAAACGCGTATCTTATTCTTTGTTTATGATGTGAATTTTTAAATTCACATAAATTCGGGCTCGTTGTACGACATAAAATGAATGATATGGTTGTTTTATTGATAAATTAAGCTTTCAAACGATGTATGGCATGCAGGTAGTGAAAACAATAATGAAGGTGAATATACAGAGTGAAATTTTTTATTGGAAAATCGCCCGCCGGCGGACGGGTGGATGGGAAAAAGTAGCATATTCACAATTTTGTTAGCCTCCAAAATATACTGCATGAAATATCATACCGTGAGATTTGGATATCGTTACATACCTAGTCAACAGTAAAGAGTAAACAGTAAAAAACTGGAAAAACTGTGGTGTTCTAAAACTTTTCACCGGTAGTGTAGCTCTTTTTTGGACACTCTAAGCCTACGTTCAGACTGCAGCCTGAAGTGACCCAAATCTGATTTTTTGGCCTCTATGTTCCTGTATCTGATCTTTTAATGACACAGATCCGATTTTTTCAAATGTGACCCAGGACACTTGGATATGTGCTCCTGAAACCGATACATATCTGATCTTTTGACATGCGACTTCAGTGTGAACGGCCAAAGTGCATTCATCCACCTACACGTTATCAACAAGACACAAACGTCACTATTCTGCGCTGAAGTAGGAGAAAATTGTTAATGAACTCTGTGTCACTGAAGTGAAGTACATCACCACTCACCACTCTTGGCTCCGTCTCCACATCCACACAAACGTTCTGTCCCACAAAACACCACGACCAAAAACCTCGTCCTTCTCCTTCTCAATCTCCTCCTTAAAACAAGTAAGTTGTTCATGTTCTGGCTCCGGTACGAGAGGAACTTTAAAATCTCCAGGTGCTCGATGCTGCGTCCATGTTTGGACAACTTCTGTAAACAGAGACGCTCGCTGCGGTTGACGTCGTCGTGTCTCCAGTGTGCATGCGGGACACTTTTGGGTCTTTAATGTTCACACTGGAGTCACATACAAGTCACATTTAATTGGAAATGTGAACGACCTTGCAAAAACATCGGATTTCACAAAAAAATCTGAATTGAGCATTAAGCCCTGCAGTCTGAACGTGGCCAAAGAGGCTTTACGGGGCATTATTCATTCAGTTGGGGAGACTGACGAAAGCGAGGCCCCTGATCTGCACCATCGGCCCCTCCAACCATCCCCGATACTCACGCACACACTACTTTCATACCAGCCGATGTAGGTGAAATTTTTTTGCCACTGGTGCCCCCCTGTGGTACCTGATTTTCTCAGCAGTCTCCCATCCTAGTACTCACCAGGGCCAGCTTTGCCCTTCTAAGATCTGACGAGATCAGGTTTTGACAAGGAGGTATGGCCAGTAAGTTATAAGGTGTTTATTTCACAGAGGCTGACCTGCTATGTGAACACTAATGCCATAATGTGGTCAAAAATCTGGCTAAATTGATTATCTCTGGGACAGATAAACAGGGAACTTACTTCTGGACTGTGCCGTTTCTCCCTCTGGTCAAACATTCTTGTCTTGTTTGGTCAGTAGTTTGCACCTGTCACTGTTTGTGTTTGCTCAGTTCTCCTCTTGCTCCTCTGACTGGTTGTTGTTTGTTTCTGGCTTTCAGCAACCTACAGTGATGGTACAAACTACACTTCATTGGCAAAAGGCTGCATCATTGAGAACCTGTGCTCCATAGCCCAACCTGAAGTCTTCTCCTTCAATACGGGCCACCACACAGAGACGCTCTCCTGCTGCAACGTCGACGGATGCAACGCGCTCCCTCAGACGGGTCAGTCTCTGCTATTTCAGTCATTAGTGCTATTAAAACAAGAAGAAGGCCTGCAAAAACAAAAAAAGCAAAAAAAAAAAGAGCTAATCTCATCCTATGCACCCAGTCACATGTTAAGACTGAAGTATTAGATTAAAGCCACACTATGTCACTTTTAGACAAAAATGAGACTAAGTTAATTCCATAAAAAGAAGGAGCAGGTAAGTGCATGGGGGGATCTGGTAGTAATATCACGTGTATGTATAAAAAATATATAAAAAAGGTAAAGTGCACATCAAACATTTTAGACCACAATAGTATGAGATAGTAAAAACAGACTCGGAAAAAACAGGAATATACTATAATATAATATATTAGTGCAAAATACAGTGAAAAATACATCAGAGGCTCTTTCCCTTATGACAATAAAGTCCTTTATTTGCACATGAACAGCCAACACATTTTATTTTCATATATATATATATATATATAGCCACAGCTGCCCTGGGACAGACTGACGGAAGCGAGGCTGTCAATCTGCGCCATCTAAAACATTTTGCAAATTTCTTTTTACTATCCCATAAGATAAAAACATGTTTGTCTCATATTGGTTGTTTTTA